GATCAACACTTCTTCCTGGACCCCGGTTGATTTGTGCAGGTTTCGTCAAGCTAATGACGTTAAACAAGCGCTTCTTGGGAGGCAACCCAAGTGATTTACTGCTTTCTTGTGTGTTTTGTTTATGTGTTTTAGTTTATTTTTATTTTCTTTGAATAATGGGGGTCTGGAAGTTTTGTTGGGCAGGACGTATCGAGGACCGGTTGATTGTGGGCGGAAGGCTGGAACGTGAATGCATATTTTCATCGAGGCTACTTCAGTTTGTACACCCTTTTCTTTTTCTTGTTTGAATTCCCAGTTTTTATTCCTATTTCCATTTATGTGTTGATGCAATAGGGACATTGCATTATTTTAAGTGTGGGGGAGTTGACAACTCCACTGCGCATTTTGCATGTTTATGTAGGATGTGTGTGTTTTCGAGCATGTGGTATTGGTGAATTATATGATTTGTTGATAAATGTTTGATGAAATTGGGAAGTTGGGATGACGAACGTATTGATCATTGCCTCGATATTTACTTGACTGCTTTAAGTGACATTTATTTACCTTGTAAGGTTTTGATCCGTACTTTTCTTTCTTGAGAGATATTGGTCGTATTCTCGAATGATTAGAACTTGCCTTGAGTCTATTTGAAAAGAATTAGTTTAAGTTTGAAATTGCAAAAATGATTGAGGCGTTTTGTTTGTTAGCTCGTTTTGCCTTGTTCTTGACACTAAAAATACATTTTCCGCTAGTAGCCGTTTAAACTTGAAGCCTTTTTTTTGTAAGCCATATATATCTAATTATTGACAGGTTTTGAGTTACGATTGGTGAAGGATATTGTTGAATGAGGTAAAAATTGAGTTGTATTTTATTGCTTGACCAAAAAAAAAAAGAGAGCTCGCAAGACGAATCGATTGGATTCTACTCCGCTTACTTGTTATTCATTTGAACGAGTAATGAGTATTGGGAAACTACCTTAGGACACTTGGATGACCTCCAATGTTTAAACCTAAGGAATATTGTCCTTACGATTCGATCTTGTTCGAAAATAGTAACTCTCTAAATAAATAAATAAAAAAAATGTGTGTAATAAATCAAGCAATATTGCAATTCGATTGTTTGTGGAGACATTGGTGGACGGTATGTGCGCTATATTTTTTACTTTGGTTGAGTGGCGGACATTCGAGTACTCTATTGCTCGAAAACTTTGATTATTTATTTGAGCTTCTTGTCCATATATATACCTATATCCTTACCTTTACCTATATCCCACATTACAACTCGAGTAGTCCTCTTGATTCGAAAATTTTGAGCTTTGGTTGATTCCGAGTCATTTAGACGATTGGCAAGCATATGTTGAAACGTAAATATCAACCAATTTTGAGCAAACCCGTCATATATTCGAACAAGAAAATGAGTGAGACATATATGATGATCTATATATTGAGAGTTTGTCATTTTAAGGCCAAGTCGATATTGAGGCATATGGTCATACGGTCGTTGGAATTCGACTCGATTGAATTAGACATTTTGAGGCTCTTCTTATTTGAATCCATATCCATGCTCGTGTTTTGTTTTCTTTTCTCTCTGTTCGGGACGAACAAAGGTTTAAGTGTGGGGGAGTTGTTGTGACCATTTTTGTTACGTTTTTCGTTATTGTTTTATCATTTTTTTCCCGTTTTATGTCTTTTAGTCGGTTTTTAGTTCGTTTTATAGTTTATTGTGTGTTTTCCTTTATTTTGGTATCTTTGTGTTTTTCGTGCATTTTTTCCTGTTTTTCTTCATTTTTGGTGTGCAGGTCGGAAGTCTCATGAGAAGTCGATTATAGACCAAGCAATAATGGTTGTGTAGATGGACTCATTGTCTACACATAGGAAAAAACGGAATGTGATTTCGAGTTCGGATGAATCCGAACGGGGCCAAAACGTAAAGTCGTGCAAGTTACCGACCCTTTAATGGTTGGAAATTCCACAAAATTTGTATTCTAGTCAAAAGTGCGGTTTACAAGCATTATTGGATAGAGGGGTTTGTTAGCTACGCATAGGAAAAAACAGAACTCAATTCCGACTTCAAACGAGCCCGAACGAGCCAAAATAGTGAAGACGTGAGAACCAGCCGCACCTTAGCGGCGCTAAGCCCCACCTTAGCGGCGCTAACCACTGGCAAACAGAAGTTGGTCAGTTTTCTTACCTATGTTTGAACTTGTGGTTGAATTGGTGAGAGTTAGGCATCATGTAGGCGTGATTTTCAGCTATTTTCTCATCAAACTACAACTAAAGGGGAGACTACTTGGGCTATAAAAGGAGGCATCATGATCATCATCACCATCTTTGAATCAAGGGGGGTTCTCCCCCTTTCTTCCCCTCTTCCCTTCTCCACTTCTTCTTCTTCTTCTTTCTTTTATTTTTCTTTTTATTGTATTTTGTATTTGGAGGAAGCTTGTATTGGATTCAACACTTTGAGATTGAATTGTAAGTTTGTTTTCTCTTTTGATTAATTCATGCAAATGATTGATTTGAGAGAAATGTATTTTTGTGTTGAATTTGATATGAGTAGCTAATTCTCTAGCTAGGGGTAGGGGATAATCATTCTGGTTTTATCTCGTTTATATGCATGACGATATCTCAATCTTGACGAGTTATTTTAATTATGAATTGATAAATTAAACTTGGTAAATTTAAAATAACCTAAGAGTGACACTTAGGTTAATTTGTTGATATAATCAAAGAGTGACACTTTGATTTGTGCTTAAATATTGATTTATTAAGTTAGATTTTGTTAATTCTACGAATTGCGACTTGTAGAACCGAAAGGGGAGGAGTCGTAGAAATAATTAATTTCAAAACCGAGAGGGGAGAATTGATGGAACTTGGCTCGTTTAGAGTAGACATGTTCGGAGACGTATTGTCTATGTGTTAAATGGCTCGTTTAGAGTAGACATGTTCGGAGACGTATTGTCTATGTGTTAAATGGCTCGTTAATTTGCTCTTTTATGTTTACCCTCATATTACGAGAGTTAGTGAGGTTAAACCGCTAAATGAGTTAGTTAGTCGAACCACTTAACCGAGTTATTGATTGTCGTTAAATGTGTGTAGAACTGGAAGTGATTATTCCTGATTCCCTAGCATCTTTATCTTTGTGTCGTTTATATTTTTATTTAGACTATTGTCTTTTGTTATTTCTTATTTGCTATTTTAGTTAATCATTTTCCAACCCTATCATGATTAGAATGTTTAGGCTTTATTTTCATTTTATGTGTTATCAACACCAATATTAAATTCCGAACAGTCTTCCTCGAGAGATCAATCCGGGAAACGAATCATTCGATTCGGTGCTCGGTAAAATAAAAATAATTTGCTACAACACTAAGGTCATCAATGGACATAATAATGAGAATTGGATGTTAGGGAGAATCATGTGTGAAGTATATTTATCGTTTACTCAAAAGGCAGAACAGTTCAAAGATATCGCGTCTACTAGTCAGCTGGTAAAGTTAATGTACTTTCACAAGGGAAGGTTCAAAGGATAGCACCTACTTAATTATCCTATGAAGGTTTCAACTGTTGAACCATAACACATATGTTTTATAATTTCATTCAAGGGGGTTGTTGGAATATTATGTCAATGAAATTTGTAACTGAAGCATTGATTTTAAAACTGTGTCTTCAACTAATAAGAAAACACTTGTAACTTGGTTTTATTAATGTTGAAACTATCTTTAACCTAAGTTTATTAATGATGAAGAAAATGTATTAGCTACCTTATCTTAGTATTATAAATATAGTGGTCTTCTTTGAGGAGAACTACACATGAAAAGAAGAAAGAAGAAAAGAAAAAACAATATTTCCCCGTTTTTCTTTTAAGTGTTTTGGTCTAGATATAGTTTTAGTTTGCCAAATTTTATTCGGTGTTTCCATTGTATCCTGAGAAACAGACACTCATACGTCGCGAATCTTTTTTAAGTATGTTGTGTTTTCACAGGCCTCAGTATTATATTAAATAGCTATTTTATTTTTATTTTCCTGAGAAAGTTCCCTACATGTGGGACATGTGGCAATCCAACACGGGGGCATCGCCCTGACCAATCTGACCAGGATGATTCATGACGATAACCTACGAGGTAAAATTAGCATTCTCCTTGGCAGAGTCATCCTTTGAGTTGGAAGCCACGTAACCACGCTTCAAGTCCTTGACAACAACATTCTTCACATTGCCAACATTGTCACCAGGGAGAGACTCTTGCATTACCTCGAGGTGCATATGAACGGACTTAACCTCAGTGGTGATGCCTAACGGGCCAAATGTGACCACCGTCCTAGGCTAGAGAATGCCCGTTTCCACACGCCAACAGGGATAGTCCCAACACCGCCAATCTAATAAACGTTTTGGAGTGGGAGACGAAGACGCTTGTTTGAGGGCCTCTTGGGCTCGTTGATCATGTCTAGAGCCTCAAGGAGTTTAGAGCTCGTGTACCACTCAAGGTTGGTGGACCTTTCAATAAATTTGTCACCTTCGAAGCCAGAGATGGGAGTAGATGGGATCTTATCAGGGTTGTACCCAACCTTCTTGAGGTAAGAAGACACCTCCTTCACGATCTCATCCATCTTGTTACAGCAGCAGATCATCAGCTTGACCCCAAGGGTGTAAGCAAGCAAGGCGTTCTCACGGTATTGACCATCCTTATAAATACCAGCCTCAAAGCATCCAATTGCGGAGTTAATGATGAGAGCGCCACAGTCAGCCTGAGAGGTACTAGTGATCAAGTTCTTGATGAAGTCACGGTGTCCAGGGGCATCAATGGTCGTGCATTAGTACTTGGTGGTCTCGAATTTCAATAGTGCAATGTCGATTGTGATACCACGTTCACGGTCAGCCTTGAGCTTGTCGAGAACCCAGGCAGACTTGAAGTACTTCTTGTTTATCTCAACAACTTCCTTCTCGAACCGTTCAATAACACGCTTGTCGATACCTCCAAGCTTATAGATGAGGTGTCTAGTTGTGGTTGACTGCCCAGAGTCGGCATGGCCAATAACCACAATGTTGATGTAAACCTTTTCTTTACCCATGCTGAATGCTCACACTTTTGATAGATAAAGATTTGAGTACAGAGAGCTCTCTTGCTGACTGTCGATTTGAATACAGAGAGATATCTCCCAATTCTTAAGTTATTGAACATCAGTTAACTAAATTAATTATTGACAATTAAAATTTTGTTTTTTCCAAAAATATTACGAGTTTCATATGTTCGTATTCGTGTTTGTTGTCCACCATTTTCATGGAAACTGATAGGGATATTAGTATCAATTCGGCCTAACGAGATAAATCCCAAAAAAGACCCATGGGTCGACCGACTACAAGGGTCGATCGAAGATGGGGGTCGACCGAAGATCGACCGGTCGAGAGGGTCTCGACCGAGAGTTGACTGGCCCAAAAGACTCGACCGAGAGTTGATTGGTCCGAAGTGCTCGACCGAGAATCGATTGGCCCGAAGGGCTCGACCGAAAGTTGATTGACCCGAAAGACTCGACCGAATGTGGATTGACCCAAAGGGCTCGTATTTGTTATGTTTTTGTGTTTATTTTTATGTGTTCATGTGAGTTATCGAGTCGATTTAAGGTTTGATTGAGTGTTGACCGGTCCATTTTATCGTTTTCCGTGTGTTTTTGTGTCTTTCATTTTATTTTATATTTTGGCGTACTTTTTCGTGCTTTTGGTAAATTTTCAGGTTTGTTCCGAGAATGAATGAGGCGAGTTGAGTCGAGTTCCAAAATTCCGAGAAGTGTCGAGTCATTTCATATGAACCATTCTCAATCGATTATGTAGGGTCCTAGCTACGCTGAGCGAGCCCTACCCCGCTTACTTGCGAGCACGCACCGTGCCCTGCAACCGCGCGCGCCTGCGCACGCTCATGCCCCGGACATACACTCGCAAGATGGCCCCCTTGCCCGCGACCACGCGGATGCCCGGGGCCCCATCCAAAAGCTCACGCTCTTGCAGAAACAGTGGCGAGATTGAGAGTGCCCGCGCACCCGCACGTCTGCGCGCCCGCGCATGCTCTTGTCAACGCCCGCTTGCCCCGCCCACACTCGCGCACTTGCAGATGCCCCGACGAGCTAGATAGTGCCGCACCTTCCACGCCCGTGCTGTTTGTTGCCCGCGAGCTCGTGAATTTCTCGGAGACGTCGAGAGTGTCTCATTAAGTGTGTGTTTTTCTAGTGTGTGGTTTGAGTTGGAGTATAAATATTTTTCTTCCTTTGCGTTTTGGAGAACCACCACTCATTATTACATTTTTCCCTTTTAGGATCTTATGTTATTTTTTAAGTTTGCTCTCTAGATTAAGGAGCTTATGTTATTTTCCGGAAGCTTTTCCGGCGACTTTCGTTTCTTTCATGTTTCGAGCTTTTGATTACGGTTTTCATCATACGCAATAGAAGAATTGATATTTTTGCCTCGTTTTTACTTATAATGTTTATTAGGTAAATTTGAGTTTGACTGATGATGGAGGAAAAATCGGGACTTGATTGCTTGGGATGCTTGCTTGAGTAGTTATAGGAATTAATTACTTGTCGATCTTTGTTAAGGGTTAAGACCCGATTAGGGCCTTAATTACTTAGGGATAGAAGGCTAGGGTTAATGATCTAGTGCTCATAGCTCGTTTATTCCTCTTTGTCGTTGATTACCATCTCGTTGTGTTGATGACATGAGACTCTGATGGTCTAGCTTCGTTATTTGCTCGTGATTGATATTGCCCTTAGTTAATTGCTCTCTTAGTGTTAAATCCAATCTCAAACCAATTGATTAGTATGTTTAGGATTTTATTTTCTCTTTTTTTGTGATTTGAACAATTGAGTAGTAGATAAATCTCTGAAGCGCCTTCCTTTTGAGAATGACCTGAGTCGGGTAACTCGGTTATCCTTTGCCCACCAAAAATTTGCTAAACAAATGGTGCCGTTGCCGGGGAAGGCAAGTAGGACGTCTAATTTGCGATTTGATTGTTCCTTTTTCTTGTGTTTCTCTTGATTTTTGTGCTTTTTGCTTAATTTTCGTATTTCTCTTCATATTTCTCTTGCTTTTTGTCGATAATTTGTGTTTGTTGCTTGAGTTTTCCCTTGTTTCCCAATGGTGCGCTCACGGGTATAGTTGTTGTTTATGTTTATGCAAGGTAGACGAAGGCGTGCACCCGTAGAGGAGACACCATCGATCGATCTTTTCGTTGAACTTAATATTGAAGAACCGCAACCGCAACCTGAAACTGAACCAATGGCGGACCAAGGAGGACAACTTCCACAACCTCCCCCGAACGTGAGATATTTTGCACGGCCTATCATTGGGGACAACACTTCATGTCTCGTGCTCGAGGAGGCAGCCCGAAACTACGACCTAAAAACCATCCACCTAAACCAACTTCTCTCATTCTACGGCCTAGCCCAAGAGAATGCCTTAAACTTTATCCAAGAATTCTACTCCACCGTTAACACCTTTCCCCTCCAAGGCCTAACCGAAAACCAACTCTGCATGAGATGCTTCCCTTATACCTTGAAAGACCGAGCTAAGACTTGGTTCATGACATTGCTTTCGAACTCGCTCAACACGTGGGAAGCCATCTACGAGAAGTTCATGGGCAAGTACTATTCACACCAAAAGACCACCGACTTCCAAACCCAAATGGCTAGCTTTAGCCAAAACATCGACGAAACTTTTCACGAAGCTAGGGAGAGATTCAAAGGGTATCAACTCCAATGCCCACATCACCATTTTTGCCTCCCAGTCCTCAATCAATTTTCTACGACGGGCTCCACTAAACCCTTCAATACATGGTTGACGCCGCGGTCGGAGGAGACATTGGGAGCCACACGGCGGAGGAAATCTATGAACTCTATGAGATGTTGAGCGAAAATTCTCAAAGGAAGAGCGTTCGTATGAGGGCCCCCGTCAATTAAGCTACACAAACTACCGGGTCCTCGAACGATGTCGTGCTTGCCAAGCTTGTCTCGTTAGAGGAGGAACTTAAGCAACTCCAGCTACGAGATGCGAAATCGACCCAAGTGGTGATGGCCGAGGTGTACGGTTGTTGTGGAGAGGCCGTTCATGGAGGCCACGAGTGTCCACGTTATATGGAGTCGGCCTACGATCCAAATCTCGAAGGAGTCCCCTCTGACATCAATGCCATCCAAGGGAAGGCCCCCCGGGTTCAAAACGACCCTTATTCCAACACTTACAACCCGGGGTGGAGGAATCATCCTAACTTCTCGTGGAGGGACCCGAAAGCGGGGTATTCACCCCAACGGGCACCACCTCAACCCTATAATCAACCCCAAGCCTATGCACCCCTAATAGCCGACCTTTCCAACCGAGGCCTGAATTCCAAGGTTACCAACCGAGGCCCGAGTTTCATGGATATCTACAAGGGTGTAGATGTTTCATCCCAAGACAACCAATGCCGCCTCTATCGGAGCCCGAGAGAAATGCTAACGGAGAGTCCTCGGATACCTGGATCGAAAGCTTAGAGAAGTGTCTCCAATCATTGACCTCAACCGTCTGTACGTTGCACGACACTGTCAAAAGAGTGCCCTCGATCCAAGCCTCTCTAAAATACCTCGAGACTCAAATGGGGCAACTCGGGACTTCTATTGGAGAGATTCAACGGGGCAAGATGAAAGACAAACTCCCGAGCCAACCCGAGCATGTCAATGCAATCACGTTTTTGAGGAGTGGTAAGAAGGTTGATAATCATGTGGACATTCCCAAGGAAAATGAAGTAGTTGAAGTTGTTGTTGATGAGGAGTATGATGAACCGGGTGAGAAGGTTGAGGTTTCAAAGGGGAAAGCCATTGTTGATGAGAGAATTGAGAAGAAGGACCCCGTGAAGGATGCCCGTGAGGCTTTGCCCAAGATTACCACACCCTACCGACCTCCGGTCTCTTTCCCTAGCCGTTTACAAGATACAAAGAAGGTGCGTCAATTCAAGGATCTTTTCGACATGCTCTTGAAGGTAAACGTGAATCTCCCATTACTAGACGCTAAAAAAAATGTGCCGACCTATGATCAATTTTTCAAGGATCTAGCTTCGAAAAAGAGGAGATTCAGAGATAATGAGAAATTCATGATTTTTGAGGTAGCTTCTACTACTATACCTCGGAAAGAGTGTGACCTGGGAGCTTTTGTCATGAAGATCACCTTTGGGAATAGAAAAACGACGACTGGGATGCTTGACTTGGAAGCTGGTATAAATCTCATGCCATATTCAATTTACAAGCAATTGGGATTACAAGGGCTTAAGCCGACCCGGATGTGCCTAAAACTAGCGGATCACACCTTGAGGGAAACGAAGGGCATAATTGAAGATGTGTTGGTCAAAGTTGGTTCGATTGTTGTGCCGGTCGATTTCATAGTCCTTGATGTGGGAGATCTCCCGAACACCGGGAATGAGCACACGATCTTGCTTGGGAGACCTTTCACGGCTACAACCAATACCCTTATCAACGTCAAGGAGGGACGAGTCACTCTCTCGGCTTATGGAGAGACGACTACTTTTACAATGAACAATGCCCTGGATGTTCCACCCAAGGTTGGCCAATGCTCTTTTATGGAGGGATCGAAAAGGAGGTACATTCCGATTCTCCTTCTCAATTTTCTAATTGTAATCATGTTGAGGAAAAGTTGAAGATGGTGGAGTCATGTATGAATGAAAATGTTGGAGTTGGAATGAAATTTGGGGATTTGAGTATGAAAAATGATGTTGGAGATGGAAGTGGTTTGAAACCAGGTAAAAAAGGGGCGAAAAAGAAGTCTAAGAATGGAGATGCAAAACCGGGAGGTACTCCATCGGGTTCGAAAGATGATGTGAATCTCGGGTCTTGGAGGTTCACGAAAAAAGGTGTGAAATTCGAGAGGGGAGATGAATGTAGGAAGAAACCCCCGGTATCCCTGAGAAGTAAGTGGGCGAATGTGTTATTTGATGAGCTCGAGAATGAGTTTAGAGGAGCTCGTCAAACCATACTCGGTTGACTATGAATTGACGGCAAATTAAAGCTCACGACTTTAAATCGAGCACTTCGTGGGGGGCAACCCACGTTTTTGTTTTTCTTGTTCTTTTCTTTTTCCTTTTCTTTTTTTGTTCTTTTCCCTTTAAAAAAAAAGTGCTCGTGCCGACCTACCCGGC